TTTCAAAATATCATTAGTTCCAGAGTATATTTTTGAAAAACCATCTTGAATACTGCCTTGTGGATAACAAGGTTAAATAAAGGTTCTAATAAGACAAACAATGGCAATTTAAATAAATCAGATGTTTTTGTCGAAGATTACTCTGTGATTTTCTCCAATTATTCATGACATTTCACCCATTCATATTGTGATCTGCTTTAATAGTGGAAGGAAAAAAAAAACCTTGTCTCCTTGTTTATTCTTTGTTCTCAAGGAGATAAGCTGTTTATAAAGATACATTATTTGTTATTTAAATCACTTTTACTGAAGTTGTTTATTTCCTTGTTTCAGTTTCTAAAAATATTGCAACAATTGTAATGCTTCTTAGAGATGTCTATTCAATTCAGAGTGATTTGTACTGAAATTCTTTGCTAAATGGGCACAGGTGCTATGTGTATAACATGCTCGAGTGAGTCAAAACTAATAAGTGCTAAACAACAATAAAAAAGACAATGAGAGTATACTTGTATTAATTTTCAAAATCTGTGATTAAAAACATTTTAGACCTAACATCTCAGATATTTGTAAATGTCAAACTCTGTACTTGCCATTTTATAACTATTTAATAATAGTAATAATATAATAACTCAGATAACATCAAAACTATAAGCAGAAAAATTGTATAATTTAAGTCCAGAAATCTGTTTCTTAGAAAATGCCCTTTAATCATTTTTCAGACTTTCAAGGTCGCTATTATATAAAAGTAATTAAATAAAAAGATAATTTACCTGGCATTAAAGTATCAAATTAAAGCTGAAAAACAGTACCTATAAACAGAATTATATTTTAAAAAAATTGTTGAACAGCAAACGCAGGAAGTCATATCTCTTGTTTCTCTCTTTGCTATGCATAAAATCATTTCCAGGGTAAATTCTAGTAATTTAATACTATAAAACTACATAGTAGTATAGCATGCAACTCTAAAATACATGTCTTACATATCAATCTATAAACTCAAACTATGGCTTGTCTTGAGTAATCAACAGGATTGATATGTGAAATAAAGCCAAGTGGATTTGATATTTTAAGGGACAGTTGATTATTTCCAAGAACAAAAGCTTCAAAATCCAGCTGGGTTGATTTGGACTAAAGAATGAAGCCTGGTATCATGAATTATAGTATGTATTCCTGCTGAGTAAGCCCTGGATATGGCAAACTCAGATCTGTGGATGCACATCACTCCCTTTGAAGTTGATGAGAATTACTTGGCCTAAGTGAGATACATGCTGGGAAAATTGGGCCCTTATAATTGGTGTGTATAGACATTAGCAGTCTCATGATCCTTTCCTCATCTGGTGCCTTAGTTTTCTCTAGTCTTGGTTTTGGCAGAAGACACCCTTCCTGAGTTAGATATGTCCCATGACCAAAAGGTATTCAAGTTTTATCATCTAAAGAGTCTAGCTTGAGAAATTCTCTATTATCAGTAAAGTTGGGTAATTACTTATCCAAGTAATCGTCCCAAGATGTCCATTTGAAAATAAAACACCAGCTGATTCCTTTGAAGTCTAGGCCAAATCATGGCTAATTTTGAGTGCAGTCACCTGGTGTAAGAACTAACACTTATAAACAAATGAGTTCATATAGCTTTATGATTGCATCTTTGAGTCTTGATGAATAGCTGCAATTTAATTTTAGTTCCTCTGAAAAAACAATCTATATCTATAGAACTGAAAAACATTGAGTCTATTTGATTGTCTGGATATGCATTGTATCAAATTTAACTAACCAGACAACAAAACTAGATTGATTATGACCATCACTATGTGACAATCAAAATTCTTATAGCTCAGTATACTTTTTGCCTATATATAGGTCTCATTTAAAGACCATTTGAAGAACTAATTAAATAAATAAGTTTTCAGTCTCTTTTACTGTTCAGTTAATTTCAAGAAGGAGCGGTGTCTGTGTTATCTTGGGTAAATTATTCTCTTAGGATCATTGAGTCTCAATATGTAAAATTCAGTTCAGTTCATTTCAGTCGCTCAATAGTGTCCGACTCTTTGTGACCCCATGGACTGCAGCACGCCAGGCTTCCCTGTCCATCACCACTCCCAGAGCTTACTCAAACTCATGTCCATTTTTGGAATATGTAAAATTGCTGGGTTAAAATCAGATCTTTAAGATACCTTTAAGATTTAGAAGTTACCTGGCTTCCCTGGTGACTCAGATGGTAAAGAATCTGCCTGCAATGCAGAAGACCCAGGTTTGATTCCTGAGTCAGGAAGATCCCTGGAGGAGGAAATGGCAACCCATTCCAGTACTCTTGCCTGGAGAATTCATATATATATTCACATATAGTCCATGGGGTTGCAAAGAGTTGGACACGACTGAGCGACTAACACACACACAAGATTTAAAAAGAACTTTTCTCATAAGTCTGGATATCCACATACATGGCATTTTTTTGTTTTTGTAATGATAAATACTAAATACATATGCAGTATTAAACCTGGAACATTCTTGGAGTTGCCCTGGAAATATTAAATTACTAGTTTTCATGATTCTTTTTTTAAAATTGAAGTATGATTGAACAAATATGTTAGTTTTTGGTGTACAGCAAAATAATTCAGTTACAAACATATACATATATATTCTTTTCCATATGGCTTATTACAGGATATTGAATATAGTTCTCTGTTGTACACAGTAGGACTTGTTTATATAATGTATATATAGTAGTTTGTATCTGCTAATCCCAGTAGTTTTTTTTTTTTCTAATTAAAAAAGTATCAGAACACACTTAGGAAATAAAGTTGGGGATAGGAGTAGGAAGATGAGATCAGTTTTCCAGTTTTTTTGAAAATAATATATATGGAGATTCATGAAAACAAATGAGATACTTAAATCACAGGGCTTCATTCATTCAATATGAGAAGACAGTAAGGTAGGTAGGAACCAGATCTTGATTTTTTTAAAGATACATAATAAATTGTATCTCCTTCCATAGGGAGGCATTACAAAGTTTAGAATCTGTGATGGAATGTAGGCAGATAGGTCATATTTTTGGGTTTTTGTTTATTTTTTAAAAAATAGTGATTTATATGACTGAGCCAGGTCTTAGTTGCAGTATGTGGGATCTAGTTCCCTGACCAGGGATGGAACCTAGGCCCCTTGTATTGGGAGTGTGGAGTCTTAGCCTCTGGAACACCAGGGAAGTCCCTGGGATTGATGTTTTAATAAAATAGTTAACAAAGGCTACTTAATTATCATAATAAATTCTCTTGAATACAAAAAAATGTAATTTATTTCTAAGTTACCTTGTATTTGTACACAATAAAGTTCATTTGCCATGTTTCTGTCCACTTGTATACTCATGTGGAAATTTCCTGTAAGTTTTCCTAGAAGTTTGGCATTAAACTATATGTGAGTTCTTATTTCACTTCCATAATTATTAAACTTGGAATCTTTAATAAGAGGTAATTTCATTGTCCAAGACAAGCAGTAGTTTTCCAAGAGCAAACAAAATGATACTCAGACACTCTCTGAAAGTCTTGAGTGTGATAAATGTGTAAGTCAAGGAAGAAATAGTCCAATTTTTTTCAAAAGGTCTTTCATAAAGTGTCACACCAAAATTAGTGATATTAAATGAAACAAACATGCAAGAATAGTTTGTCCTTTCAGATGTAATTAAAGATAGAAAAAAATAATTTGACAACATATTTTGGAAGACAATCAAAATAATTTTTCCATAAATGATTTGACAGTCAGTAGAGAAGTCTCCAAAATATTATACCATGCTACATGCTCTCTTTTTCCTGTTTCTTTGGAATCTTCTATTGTAGAAATTTTGTCAGAACTCTTCACTATGACTGGTCCCTCTTGGGTGGCCCTGCAGGGCCTGGCTCATGGCTGCATTGAGTTAGTCAAGTCCCTTCACCACCACAAGGCTGTGATGGGTGAGGAGGTCTATTGTAGACCAAAAACCTAACTTTCTGGAACTCTTTCTAGTGTAGTTTGAAACCTGGCTTTCTCCTTCCTGTAATCCGTATTTTCTTTCCTGCCTTAACTCACTCTATTCCTTGTTCTTGGAAGGTCTTCATTTTGTGTTGAAAGTAAAGCTTCTAGAAGGCCTTCCTGATTTCCCAGCCAAAGTGTTCTCTCATTGATTCCACAACACATGGTTAAACCTTTTGTTTTGTCTTTATCCCTCCTATCCGATTGACTGACTCTTCAGGTCAGCAGTTTGTATTCCCAATGTATTTAGCATAGTGACTCAAAACAGTTTTGATTTTGAAAATCAAATTAATCAAAAATTAATCACTTAGAAATTCTTCTTTAGATGCACTGTCCCACAGCCACTCTATCCACTCATTCATTTTGGGCCATTGGCTTTCCCATGTTACATACATTGCCCCATGTTCTTTAAAAACATTTGAGTGTACGCCACATCAAAAATAATTTATGGTATTAAAATACAGAAAGCAAAAGTGGTAGGAGCACATTTCAGATACTTTGCTGAAGATGAGCTGGATGCTGGAGGCAAATAAATTGGGGCTATCATTTATGGAAGGTAACAGCAATATTTCGTTAAAATATGAGCCAGTGGATCACCTGCACTTTAGGTTTTGAAATCTCGGTCAGGCTCTCTAACCTAAAAGGCTCGGGGATGGCTGTTTGAATACAAGCTGTAATCACGTTCTAACTCCTTGAAAGTGTTTTGGAATCCTCTGCTGCAGCCTCTGGGTGGACAATTGTCCCTCTCATCAGGCTTGAGCTGCCCGCCCCGCCCTCCGTGCCGCGGCACTGCATGCTGGGAGTCGTGGTCCAGATTTGCTGTGTCAGGAAGGATCCAAAGGGCATCGGAGGCCAGCCCGCCCTCTCGCTACTAGAGGTCGAGTTCTTCCGCTGCTCATTCTCTCGGGCGGAGCCTTCCGTGAACCCGGCTACGTTTGTCTGTGCCACCGTGTCTCTTCTGGGTTTCAATAAAGTTTTCCTCTTCCTGCCCTGGTACGGCGCTCAAGATGGCGGCCTCATGGTCGCCCTTGGTTACCCTGCGCTTAACGCAGAGCCGGCTGAGAGGGAAATGTGTTGGGTGCAGGGCTTGGGCCGCTGCTCTCACCCCTTCGGCCATCGCCCCTGGAAACCCTCTTTGTAAAGGTTAGTGACTGTGTCTGGAGTAAGCCGGGCCCACTGCTTATGACCCAGGAAGCCTCGGGGCAGTCAACCCTCCTCGAGCTCCATATACTGCCGCTTTGGTTCACAGTTTTCGAGAGGTTTCCTCGAGAGGGATTTCACCCTCTCGTGCTTTCCTATTATTGCCTGCTCCAGGAAGAGCCCTAAGCACTGAGGGAGGTGGCCCAGAATGACTTTTTATTTGAGGGTTTGTTGTCTTCTGGACCCTGGCTGTTAAGAGTTGAGACTTTGTAAGCCCAGGTGTGGGAGTACCTGGCTTGAAGGGATTCGAGTGGGGGCTTGAGGTCTGGGAACTCTTCCAACCTGCGCAGTCGCAGTCCCAAGGTCTCCAGGCTGGTATCCCGGGACTGTAAGAAAAAGCCAAGCCTCTGACACCTGCAGGCTCCGAGAGCTCTCTGGATTACCGGGAATGCAAGTGTACAAGCATTCTCAGATTGAGGGATCGAGTTCTCGTGTACTTTTAAAGTTGCTAGAGGCTTCAGCGAAGTGTATTTTGTCACCAGGCTTGCACCATTCATTCATTCGAATTGTTATGTGTTCGTGAATGAATGAACCTGTATTTTAAGTAAGCAAGCCCACCACAGGAGTGCTAATTTTCCTGCTCTGTTCATATACTTCCACTAAATTGCAGGTTACTCAAAGGCAAGGACCAGATGTCAGTTTCCTCAGCACTTAGCACAATGTTTGGCGCCTAATATATATATATATATATATATTTTTTTTTTTGAGTGGTGTTAAACTTATTGCTCCCTCATCCACATAACTTACAAAAAAAAAAAAAATCTCCAGGCCACTCCTGCCATAGATCTCAATAAATTGTTTCTCATTGGCTAATTTACCTAAAACTCTATCAGTCTTTGATTATTATCAACAATAGAATTGAAATTAATACTGGAACTGTGATTAAGTCCCTTTAGGTTTTATTGTAAAGTTTAGCATAATCCACTTTCTGTATTGGAGAAGGAGATGGCAACCTACTCCAGTATTCTTGCCTGTAGAATCCTATGGACAGAGCAACCTGGCGAACTACAACCCATAGGGTGACCCAGAGTAGAACAAGACTGAGGTGGCTTAGCACACTTACTGTATAATGGGATATTTTGGTAGCATGAGGCTTTTTCGATCATAATATAAACTTAGAATTTTTTTTTTTTTTTTTACGGAGTAGACACTAGAAGTAAACAATACAAAATTCAAAAGGTACAAAAAGGAATTAGGTAAAATGTTGACTTTCTTCCACCCCTGTCCCACAGCCGCTTAGTTTTTCTTCCCAGAAGCAACTACTGATACTTGTTTCTTATGTATTCTTCCGGAGACATTCTCTGTATGTATATATATCTCTGTGTGTGTGTGTGTGTACATATATATACACATATATATTTATAAATATCTGTGGTAAAGAAAAATAGAAGTGGTAATGTACTATACATACTTTTCTGGCCTTTTTTTCCCCACATATTGATACTATATCTTGGCAGTCATTCCACATCAATACGTGTAGAACTGCCTCACATTTTAAATGGTTAAAATAGAATTTCACTCTATGCATGTACCATAATTTATGAAAATTAGGATTTAAGGAACATTGTAATAACATGAAACTCACTGAATGTTTGTTCAGGGTCATACAGTATGCTAAGTGCTTTCTACATACCTTACCTTATTTAATTCTCATTATCCTTATTTTGGGGATGAGAAAACCAAGGTTGCAAAAGTTATATGGCTAGTTAAGTGGCAGAACTTGTGGATTCAAGTAAAGGCTGTATTTGGACTTACATCTGAACCTAAGGCCAGTGCTATTAACCTGAACTCATACTATCTCCTATACTCGAGATTTAGTCAGTTTTGAATGTGGACATTTGATGAAAATGCAGTTAGGGTAGAAGTCAATTTAACTGTAACTAAAATTGCTCCCTCCCCTTCTTTAAGTAAAAGAAAAAATTTAAGTTAAATGTTATTCAGTATTTGGAGTCTGATTTAAGTTTGATTTCTATCCTTTTCTTATCCTTTTCTATTTTTTTTTTTGGTGGGGTTATTTACTGTTTACATTTATATTTTAAAAATTTATATTTTATATTGGAATATAGTTGATTAACAACCTTGTGTTTCAGGTATAAAGTGATTCAGTTGCACGTATACATATATTCATTCTTTTTCAGATTCTTTCCCCATATAAGTTATTACAGAATACTGAGTAGAGTTTCCTGTGCTATTTATGTAAAGTTGTTGTTATCTCTATTTTTTAGATAAACAGTCTGACCACTCTAGTGGTATATGAACCCAGGCATTTTTGCTCTAGAAGCACAAACTTAACCACTATGTTTTACTAGCTCTTTACCAAGACGATGGACATTAACACGATCATCTGAAGGCTCATCTGAAGTCTTGTAGAACCACACAAAAGAAAGCAGCTTTGCTTGGAAACGGAAGGGCTTTTAAGCAAAAGTGTAGAAGTGACTTGTGACTGGCCCTTACTGGGGTACGTATAGTCTCTCAGGGGGAGCAGGTAGAGATGAAGCTTGGCAGGTGGGCCAGACTCAGGCTGGAAAAGTCCTGTGTACTATGCAAGCGTGTGGGCTCAGGGTGATTTCCCTGTGTACTATGCAAGCGTGTGGGCTCAGGGTGATTTTGTTGAATATTTCTTGAGAAGTGATCAGGTCCACTTTAGCATAATTATCCTTGGGGCCACCTGAAAAACAGATCAGGAATGCCTGGATGGGGGAATATTGGAAGCATGGTGATTATCTAGGAGAGTGACTTAGAGCCTGAATTACTGGTAAAAATGGTGAAAATGGAGATCAGGGCAGCAAAGGAGGGAGTTCAGAGATACTGTTTTGGTAAAATCAGGTGGCTCTCGGGGAGACAAGGAAAGAGCAGAGTTAAGGTCAATTTGGGCTTCCTAGTTTGGGCAACTTAATGGCATCATATTCTATCTATCAAAGAAAACTAAACAAACAAGAAGTAAGGCCAGAGGTATTTTAGGGGAGGTTCCATTTTGAATATATTAAATTTGAGACATTAGTGATAATTCCAGATAAATAAATCTAATTAGTTGTGGGAAATATGAGATATGCATCTAAGAAAGGAAATAGGAGGTGCTGAGAGCCATGAGAATGGAAGAACTAGCTTGGTAATATTTGTAGAATGAAAAGGAGGAAAGACTAGGAATGACTTCTTAAGGAAAACTTATTTTATGAGCAAAAGAACATGACCTTGTCAGGGAGCAGTTAGAGAGGTCATAGAGTAATAGGAGAGAAACCAAGGAGGAGAATGGTTCTAATTTTTCTAGAACTTAAAATCAGCATATCTGTTTTACTTAAGCTGGCCTTGGAAATTGTTTCATAGGGGTGAGAGAATATGAGAGTCACATCTTGTGATTTCTTATTATTATACTGTCCTTCTGCATCTCAATGTTATATTTTTAGATCTCTCTCTTAACTGATGATTCATATTTACCTTTAGCTCACAATCTTTTTTTTAGTACATGCACATTGGAGATCCTGATCAGGTATTATTGTGAGTAGCACTCAACAATTTGAGTTGGTATTATTTATTGGTGGTGTAGATTAGTGATTAAGAAAATGGACTTTGAACTTTTATTACCCAATTAGATGAATACCCTGTGGGAAACTTCATCTTTCTTGGATTGCCATTAACATTTATTATTGTTTTAGAAAAGAATGTTCATGCCTCCTCCTGAGACTGATTAGCTTCGTATAATGGTTTCTTTGGGCTTCCCTGGTGGCTCAGTGGTAAAGATTCCACCTGCCAGTGCAGGAGACGTCAGTTTGATCCCTGGGTGGGGAAGATCCCCTGGAGAAGGAAATGGCAACCCACTCTAGTATTCTTGCCTGGGAAATCCCATGGACAGAGGAGCCTGCGGTGCTGCAGTCCATAGGGTCGCAACAGAGTCAGACACGACTTCGCAAGTGACTAAACAACAACAGGTTTCTTTGAGTTTATTTTTTTAAAGCATAGTACAACTCACTACATGGCATAGCTAGTGTCCAGATGGGGTGGAGGGTTGGCAGATGAAATAGGATGGGTTCAAGAGTGGAACTTTGGAACATGGCTACCTTGATAGCTCAGTTGGTAAAGAATCCGCCTGCAATGCAGGAGACCCCAGTTTGATTCCTGGGTCGGGAAGATCTGCTGGAGAAGGGATCGGCTATGCACCCCAGTATTCTTGGGCTTCCCTTGTGGCTTAGCTGGTAAAAATCTGCCCGCAATGCGGGAGACCTGTGTTTGATCCCTGGATTGGGAAGATACCCTGGAGAAGGGAAAGGCTACTCACTCCAGTATTCTGGCCTAGAGAATTCCATGGACTGTCTTAGTCCATGGGGTCTCAAAGAGTCGAACACGATTGACTTTCACTTATTTACTTAAGAGTGGCAAAAAAAAAAAAAAGTGGCACCGTTAGAAAGGAACTTTAGAAGTCTAGAGACAGATTACTGATCTACCGTAGATTAGCACTGCTTTTTACCTCATGATCTTCATTCTCTTTAAGTGAATGGTGAATGTGTAAATGGATTTAACTATTTTGGATTTGTCTTTTCACAAAAGTACTACAGAAATAATAGTTGTCAATGGTCTTGAAATGGATAGTTCAGCCTTGTCACCAGTACATTAATATGCTTTATAAATTGACAGAAGGTTATGTAGCCTCAGGTTGACTATCTCTCACACTGTTTCCATAGGCCTCTCATAATTTTCTCTGACTAGTGACTAAGATTTGTTCTGATTTCTCTCTTAAGAGCTTTTTGAATATGTCTGTTCTTCCTGCTGTGTTTTGTCTTCCTTGCCTGAAGTCCTCTGTTGAGGTCTCATTTCTGTGTGTACCCTGCTGGAGGTAACTCATACTTTAATCTTTAGAATCTTTCTCATAACCTTCTTTCACTGTCTTGCTTGTTCTTCTTATTTCTTCTCTCCATTCAGCTCATCCTCAAAGATACTTTTCAACATTA